CAGAGAGAGACACAGCGAGAGAGGGAACACAAGCAGGGGGAGTGGGAGAGGGAGAAGCAGACTTCCCACTGAGCAGGGAGCCCAATGCGGGGCTCGATCCCAGGACCCTGGGATCATGACCTGAGCCAAAGGCAGACACTTAACGACTGAGCCACCCAGGCACCCTGATTGTACTTTCTTAAAATCTCTCCAATTGATTAGCTTTTCTACATCTCTACAACTATAACTTACTGACCACAAAGCTATTAACAATGCCAGATTGTAGTGTTTCAATAGCTTCTTAGCTAATTTCCTTATAAAATCTTTTGTTTAGGGGTGCCTGCTTCTCCCTCTCCCTCTGCTGCTCCTCCTGCTTCTGTGCGCTCTCTCTCTCTCAAATAAAATCTTATAAAAAATATCTTGTTTCCACTCCAATATTTTCTCCACATAGCAAAGAGTAAAAAATTTTTAAATACAAATTTGATTATGTCATTGCTTTGATTTCCATTGCTTTTTGCAGTTCCCTAATTACTAAATCAAAGTTAATATTGCCAGGTCACTGCCTGCTTCTCTCCTGTCACATATCCTACTTTCTTCTCCTCACTTTACTCCAGGTATACTAGGCTTCTTTCATTTTCTTAAACATTCCAAGCTATCTCCTGCCTCAGGCATTTGCCCATATCTATCTTAGTCTATCAAACCAACCCCCTTCACATAGCTTACTCCTCATTCTTTAGATCTCTTAACTATCCACTTTGGTTCTGGTCCCCTGAACACTAGATTATGTCCTTCATTATACACTTCTTTAGCATTCAGTGCTCTCACTAGTAGTAATTACATGTAATTGTTCAATACCATATAATTATGTAATTGCATATTTCTTTCTTTCTTCTACTAAAATATGAACTTTATGAGGGCAGGGATAATACTTGTATTGTTAATTATTGTGCCCTCCCTACCTGGAATATTATAAAACTGCTAGAAAAAAATAATACATATCAATGTACTACAGTCTATTCCACTGACAAATATAACTGTTTCAAATTATTTTTCATTATAGATCACTGTCTTTACTCTGTTATACTGAAGCATAAAACTGAGGGATATACATATTTCAACCATGTCTATGACTTAGACCTATTCTTCATTTTCTATTACAATCCTATTATAAAGTGTACCTGAGCTGCCGACTCAAAATTTTTAATTTGCATTATCTACTGCTTAAAAGTCATGCATTATTCATTCAATGTCAAAATGCCCAGAAATACTTTTAATTCTTCCTTATTTCCTACTGCAGCTTTTCAAATCCTGCTGGGTCAGGCAGTGTTGACTCATCTTGGAAAATATACTCATTTGACTTCACTTACTTTGACTTTCAAATAAGAGTTTCTATATTACAAAAAAGAAGAAGAAAAAAAGGAAAGAATCATTTTCTCTGCTTGGGTTTAAACCAAGACACAACTATATGTTGTCTATGAGTCTCACTTTATTATAAAGACACAGATTGGTTAAAAGGAAATATGTGACAAGCAGTATACAATATAAAAAATCAAAGAAAGCTGGAGTACCTATATTAATATCACATAAAATAGTACATGGAACATTTATCAAAATAGCCATATTGTGGGCCACAAAACTAGTCTCAATAACTTTAGTAAGAGTGAAATCATGCAAATTATGATGCATAGTGGAATTAAATTAGGAATCTATAGCTATAAGATATCTCAAAGATTCCTGAATGTTTGGAATTAAAAAGATATTTATACATAACACATGGGTCAAAGAAGAAATCATAAGTTAAATTAGAAACTTTTCAACTAAATGAAAATGAAAACATGGCATACCAAAATTTGTGTGTTGTAGCTAAAGCAGTGCTTTAGGGAAATAACTTAAGGTCCTCATTATATTAGAAGAAGAGTATTCAAATCAACAATCTAAGCTTCTACCTTGATTAGTAGAAATAGAACAGAGAAGGGGAATCAATGAAATTGAAATCAGAAAAACAATAGAGGAAATCAGTAAGATCAAGATCTGGTTATTTGAAAAGATTCATAAGCCTTAAGTAATAATGATAAGATAAAAAGGGAGAAGATACAAATTAGAACTAGCAGGAATGAAAGAGGGAATGTCACTGCAGATACTACATATATGAAAGGTTAGTAGGGAAATATTATGAATAATTTCATGCCAAAAGACTTTACAGCTTAGATGAAATTGACAAATTCCTTGAAAAATCAAATTTTTAAGTTGACTAAAAAAATAGAAAATCCGAATAAGTTTATATTTCATAAAGACATTGAATTTAAAATACTCCTAGAGGAGAACACAGGCAGCAACCTCTTTGACCTTGACCACAGCCACTTCTTGCTAGACATGTCTCCAAAGACAAGGGAAACAAAACCAAAAATGAACTATTGGGACTTCATCAAGGTAAAACGCTTTTGCACAGCAAAGGAAACAGTCAACAAAACTAAAAGGCAACCTACAGAATGGGAGAAGATATTTGCAAATGTCTTATCAGATAAAGGGCTAGTATCCAAAATCTATAAAGAACTTATCAAACTCAACACCCAAAAAACAAAAAATCCAGTCAAGAAATGGGCAGAAGACATGGACAGACATTTCTCCAAAGAAGACATACAAATGGCCAACAGGCACGTGAAAAAATGCTCAATATCCCTGGGCATCAGGGAAATACAAATCAAAAGCACAATGAGATGCCACCTTACACCAGTCAGAATGGCTAAGATTAATAAGTCAGGAAACAACAGATGTTGGCGAGGATGTGGAAAAAAGGGGAAATCTCTTACACTGTTGGTGAGAATGCAAACTGGTGCAGCCACTATGGAAAACAGTATGGAGGTTCCTCAAAAAGTTAAAAATAGAGCTACCCTATGACCCAGTCATTGCACTATTAGGTATTTATCCAAAGGATACAAACAGTGATTTGAAGGGGCACATGCACCCCCAATGTTTATAAGCAACAATGTCCACAATAGCCAAAATATGGAAAGAGCCCAGATGTCCACTGACAGATGCATGGATAAAGAAGTTGTGGTATATATATAATGGAATATTACTCAGCCATTAAAAAGAATGAAATCTTGCCCTTTGCAATGATGTGGATGGAACTGGAGGGTGTTATGCTAAACGAAATAAGTCAGTCAGAGAAAGACAAATACCATATGATTTTGCTCATATGTGGAATTTAAAAAACAAAACAGATGAACATTGGGGAGGAGAAGGAAAAATAAAATAAAATGAAAACATAAAGGGAGACAAACCATAAGAGACTCTTCACTATAGAAAACAAACAGGGTTACTGAAGGGGAGGTGGGTGGGGATATGGGGTAACTGGGTGATGGGCATTAAGGAGGGCACTTGAAGTAATGAGCACTGGGTGTTGTATGTAACTGATGAATCACTGAACTCTACCTCTGAAACTAATAATACAGTATATGTTAATAAAAAATAAAATAAAAATTTTAATAAAGGAAAATAAATTTCAAAAGATAAAATACTACAGGACAGATGGTTTCACTGATGAATTCTATGAAACATTTAAGGAAGAAATAATATCAACCTTACACAAACTCTTTCAGAAATTAGAAGAGAGAACATTTCTCAAGTAATATTTAGGCAGCATTATCCTAATATTAAAACCAGACTAAGATACTGCAAAAAGAGAAAGCTACAGAACATCCCTTATCAACAAAGATATAAACATACTTAACAAAATACTATCAAAGTGGGTCCAGCAATATATATAAAGGATAATGCATTACATCCAAGTGGGATTTATTCTGGGTATGCAAGGTTGTATTAACATTTGAAAATAAATTGTTGTAAAACAAACTAGGGGAATAAGAAGAGAGAGGCAAACCAAGAAAGACTCTTAAGTATAGAGAACAAACTGATGGTTACCAGAGGGGAGGTGGGTGGGGGGATGGATTAAATAGGTTATGGTGATTAAGGAGTGCACTTGTGATGAGCACCAGCTGTTACATAGAAGTGTTGAATCAC